ATATTTTGCGCTCTCTCCACTGGAGTTCTGTGAGCTACAGAATCCATCGGAGAGTTCTGATGTGGGTTTGGAAAAGCCTGAAGGGTCTTGCTCCACCCTAACTCTCTGATCTGCCTCAGACTAACACACCAGCGAGGTCCACTGATCAGCAGATCTCAGTCAGGGCTGAAACTCAGAGGGAATCAGGAACTTCACAGCCGTGGCACCGAAAGTGTGGATCGATTCAGAGACCCAGGGATCGTCTGTGGGTTTTTTTTAAACTTTGTATGGGACTTTGGAGCAACTTTGTTGCTTTTAAATGCATGTTAGAAATAAAATGAATTGGACCAGAGCGTCTTAGTTTCACTGCATGTGGTTCTCAGAGGTGTTCGTTCTAAGTCTGAAGACTAAACCAACCCCTCAGGCCATGAATCTGTTAAATCTGTTAAACCAAACCACTCCACACTCTGTTCACTTTACACATGCAGCCGAACATCCAATGCACAGTGAGTTTAATGCAGAATCCTTCAGAGTTTCGAACACAAACAGGAACCCGGAGGCTCACTCTGTGTTTACACTGTGACTCAACGAGGGGTGAAGTTATAAATGTCAGCGTGTAAATGTAGCCACCAGCCTGGACTTTCTCTGCTGCTGCGCTCCTTCACTGGTAATGGCCTCCTATGGAAATGATCTTCCTTTGTGGAGGATTAGATTACACATATAAAAGCAAACTCTTGTGCTCCTCGACCTGCCGGCCCTCCTACTGCGCTACCTCTCCTCTCAGAGCCGCACAGACCCGGCGCTCTAACCCTCGCTGAATACAATAAATAACCAAACGTCTTTAGTTGCCGTCCGCTGCCTGAAGAAAGGCCCGGCCGGGCTCTGGGTTTGGAGTTTTATTGAGCCCTTTGAGTTATGTTCTAGTAAAACTGAAAGAATTTGGCAGCGCGGGATCCTCTAACAGCACATAGAGGAGGTGTTTGGTGTGGAGACGTGCGTGTGTGGTAACTTTCACATCAGTGACATACTTTACAGTTACTGTAGAGCGGCGTGGAGGCGGGGCTGTAACACAATGACACATCCTTCAAAGCCCTCATCTGTAACCTTTCAAGTAGAGTTGGGGAAAAAAACTGTTTGACTTGGCAGCAGGGAGCGCCTGTGCCTGTGTCATTTGTCTGCTTGGGGTAAGTTCCACAAGTTTTTATTGCAAATGTGTTTTCATATCATTGAAAACCTCAGTGGAACCGGGGACGGACGGGCAGCGGTGGGAGAAGAAGCACGAGCTCTGGAGCTGATGAAACGTGTTGACGTTTCACCTCTGAGACGGAGCACAGAACAGCCTGCTGAGGTTCTGACACTTTGGTGTTTACATGTTCATAGACTCTGAGGAAATGAGGCTGCACGACGGGCCGTAATTACAGTAATAGCACACGGTTCTCAGATTGTCAGTAGATTCTGGAACTTTCGTAGGAAATTCAAATATTCCGCGACATTGTTAATGTTGAGTGGCGTAAAATATGAAAGCAACAGCTGATTATTATTTGGTGTAGCTAACAGTAAGTCAGCATTTATTTAATTTTTTTTAAATTCAAAGGATGTATTATTGTCTGCTTGCTATTGAACTACGACTTATTAGTGCCCCAAGTGGCGGATCAAGAAACTGGTATCTGATGTATCTGTGATTGAACAATGTTTTTTTTTTTACATTGTGACATTTGAATACTGTTGAGTCAGCTGTTTTTTTTAACTGCCAAATGACAAATCAAATCTGTCTTATTTTTCAGGCAGTGAGTGACGAAGGTTTATGAAAACAGAAAATCTTCGATTTAAAAAACTGTCAATTTCAAGATTCTTTTTAAGTCAAAAACTGCCAGTTGCCACATTTTAAAAATATTAAGATTTGCATAAATAATGAACTTATTCAGAGATCACGTGGTGAAGTCAGTGAAGCCGAGAGGATCAGGACGGTCAGACAGAACGGGTTTGTTATCAAAAACTCTTTTAAACATAAACTCTGGAGTCGGTCGGTCAGTCACGGATCTTTGGCTGCATGTGTGCGACACATGATCCCCCCCCCGCCCCCCACCGATCGCCAGAGGTCCATCCCAGGTGAATTTTTCACAGCTGTTGACTTACAGTGTGCACTTTTATTTCATGACTCATTTATTCAAAGTTTCCCTTCGTCGTATTAGTCATCAGCGTTGCATGTAAGAGAACGCTCGCTTTTCCCTCAGCGCGGGGAGATTCATCTTACAGCAGACATGCTGTTTTTTGGACGAAATCAACCATTCATCATTACATGGAGCGAAGTTTTTATTCACGTTTCATTTGTTTCATCTGCCTGAGTGTGTGGAAAACACACTATTATTCTGCGAGTGTTGGTGGCCCGCGGCGCTGGAGCGGAGATCACGGAGAAACTCAGCAGATTTGTGTAATTGAAAACACAAATGGAATGAAAAAGTACAATTATTCAGTCGGTGTAATTTACAAAATCTGCATTAGTTGAATATAATCTGCAGCATTTGGTTGAAATAACGCTGTATTAAATAGAATGTTTTTTTTAAAAATATATATTATCTATATCTCTATGTAATTAATATGTTAATTTAAGTAGATTCTTTCATTTTAACACATTTTAATGCACGGTCAGAACAACATGCCAAGTCAAAATTTTGAAGAAATTCTTGATCCACAATAATAAAAAAAAAATCCACAAAAATATATTTTTTAGGTTTAGGTTATTTTCTAGGTTAATTGCTTCACCATGATTATTTTTTTAAGTATGTTTTCATATATTCAGTTTATAATTTGCTGTGAATTACGTTTTATGAGGAAATATTAGCTTGTCTTTTCAACTGAAGACAGACAGAAGATCTCTGTTCACGTGCCTTTATTAACAATGATGATAAGCTGCAGGTTTAATTCCATGAAATACAGCAATTACCCTTAGTTTGCAGTCGTGTTTTTAGACTTGTATTCTTTAGTGGCTAATATCATTATATATATTATAAAACACAGCAACAAATCTAACTTTTCTTTTTACTGTTCCCAATAAGTTATGGGATGCTGAAAGTGTTAAGTTTTGTCAGGGGTGTAAAGACAACAAAGGGAAGGTAAGCTCTCCGCCGTCATTGGCTGGCTGACACAGCAGAGGATGAGGGTTAATGATACACAATGTTGCGACGTGATGAATGTCTGTTTTCATTTCTGCCCGACAGGAGAATGGGCCTAAAGCCACGGAAGGTGTTAATGTCAGTTTAGGAATATATGTCATGAGGGGACGCAGGGGTGAACAAATGGTTCCATGTGTCAGAGAGCGCGCTTTGACTTTGTGTCCACGCAGAGAATGGAGATTAAATCACTTGCAGGGAGGCGGCAGTTTAATGAGAGCGAATTCGACGTGTGGGAAAATCCGTTAAGTGCATGGGTTTGACGAATGTTTGCGTTGCTGCAGCCGCGGCGGCGGCGGAACTCTGTGTGGCATCACGGAAAAAATGTGGAGATCGGAAAAAGGGAAAAATATACCATGACATTATTTTCTCATCTCAACCTTCATCAGACTCTGTTTTTCCTCCTGTGGCAGAAGATTTACTCGTGGAAACACACCTTCCGTCAAAGTGACTGATCGGTCAGTTTGTTTATTTACTGCCCGCTGACTGAT